CTTCGACAGTAAATAATAAATTGAAATGTCGCGAAGGCTCTGGTTCAACGGGGCGATTCTTTGATTAAGCCGCGCCAATCACAAAACAGAATTAGTGGTTTTAGTACAGAATCTGTAATCTGTACTAAAACCACTAATTCTGTTTTGTGATTGGCGCGGTTTAATCAAAGAATCGCCCCGTTGAACCAGAGCCTTCGCGACATTTCAATTTATTATTTACTGTCGAAGGCTCTGGAATCCAGGGTAGGTAAACATAGGCAAGTGTTATCAATCAGACAAGTGCAAAGTTGACATGTGTAAAGTTTACATTCTCTAAGAAACATGTTCTGTTATAATCTGTCACTCAATAACGACAACTGTTCTCGATCTTCAGGATACCAAGACAGCTAACTGTGATGTTCGCTGCAGTGAGCTAAAATATAGAAAACAGATATTGTTTAAGTAGGAAAGTTGTTCGCAAGGCGACTGTATTTTTCCACCATGAAATCATTTGTAAATCGTAGGTTCTTATACCTATAAATATCGAGACGTCGTCATTTTTCTCCGCATTTCTCAAAGAGCCTGTGATTTCTTCGTTTTGAACAACAGGCTGAAATATATCTACAAATTCATCAGAATATGGCGGTGCAATAATGTCGAGTACCTACAGTAGAAAAAAATATATAAGACGCTGAATCGCTGACACACAATATGGCGATTCTATGATCTGGCTTACCTCAGTAACAAAATGCCGTATTAATGAATTATCGACTTTCTGAGTGTCAGTACATTTTCTAATGTAACTGACAACCGCCACAACATAACCTCGACTGACCAAATGAACCATACGATCTAAAATTGTCTTCTTGAAGCCAAGCTAAAGAAAACAGTCGATTAGATTAGCCATGTTTTCCTGAAGATGGGCAAACCAGGAAACATTGTTTCCTAGCCATGTTTCCTGAAGGTGGACAAACCAGGAAACATTGTTTCCTAGCCATGTTTCCCGAAGGTGGACAAACCAGGAAACATTGTTTCCTAGCCATGTTTCCTGAAGGTGAACAAACCAGGAAACATTGTTTCCTAGCCATGTTTCCCGAAGGTGGGCAAACCAGGAAACATTGTTTCCTAGCCATGTTTCCCGAAGGTGAACAAACCAGGAAACATTGTTTCCTAGTCATGATCATGTTTCTTGAAGGTGGACAAACCAGGAAACAATACCAGGAAACATTGTTTCCTAGCCATGTTTCCTGAAGGTGGGCAAACCAGGAAACATTGTTTCCTAGCCATGTTTCATGAAGGTAGACAAACCAGGAAACATTGTTTCCTAGCCATGTTTCCTGAAGGTAGACAAACCAGGAAACATTGTTTCCTAGCCATGTTTCCTGAAGGTGGGCAAACCTGGAAACATTGTTGTTTCCTAGCCATGTTTCCTGAAGGTGGACAAACCAGGAAACATTGTTAAATGGGCAAACTAGCAAACACTTTCCTTTTTGCTGAAAGTGGACAACGGAGAATGTTAGGTTAATACATCGACCAGCGTATCCAAGGAAGTTGATGATTCGAATATCCTGATCAATAATACTTGCGATTGTTGTAAAGGATGACACGTGCTTATCTAAGAAAAATATTCAGCAGCATTCATATGTGACCTATGTGATCACTGATCACTTCGATAATGTCAGCCAGGTTTTTGTTTATTCAAAGCGCACTCCAGTTCTATTGTGGCTATGTAAACAACACAAATGGATAAATCTTCCAGTCTCTTCTACATGTTATGATTCGTCTGCAATATATCCTGACGCACTCACGCAGAACGCACTATTTGGACGCGCACTGGATAGATAGGGTTTTAAGACAGTACCAAAGAGTTATTTGGTGGGATTTGTGAAAAGAATATTTTGAACCGGTGATCTCTAATTCTATGTATAACTGGAGTAAGAGAATGAAAGGAAGGATAAAGTAAAAAGTAATAAAGCAATGCACATTACAAATTGAAATACCGCAAGAAATATGCAAAGTCTGCTTTGCATCGTAAATATTGACACAGAATATGTGGAATAGTCATGTCTACTCTGTGATATTGGTTGTGCGCATGAAAGTGGACATCCTTTTCCGGCCAAATTCTTGGAAAATTTCCGGTCATATTCTGACGGATAACATTTGGGTTGAAGCTGCACGCAGGCTTACAGGAATTGTAGTATTTTCTCCATGCAAGATGTTTCTTTGATTTCTGGGAGATGTCTTACGTTCCTTTTAGAGGCTTTGGTAAGTTACATTATATTTGTTTCTTAACAAATGGGGGGAATGTTGAATGAGGGGAGTTTCAAATATAGCAAATTGAAGATTGAACATCTACAGTATTTAAAGACCATGTCAAGTCCGTTCTGTGCATCAGTTCTGCTCATATAACAAAGGGGGACCCACATATATAAACATTGCCCAAATTTAGCATCTTTCGAAATTTTTTGAATTGAAACGTGCTCAAGTTTATATTCATTTACAATAGCGAACCAGAAAAGTGTTTTAGATATTCAGTTAGGGGCCGTCGACAAATAGATTTCGTCCCGCATCGCGGACTTGGGCCGCGATTGTTTGAACCCCCTCCCCCCCTACCTCATCGCGGACAAGTAAAAACCCAAAGAGAATCGAAATTATGGTCCAAAATATTATCCGAAATATGACTGTGAGCGGTCTACTATAGGCAAGAATACAGTATGTAATGCTGACTTTTAACATTATGCATGAGTCAATTCCAAGAGTAACCATCCCCCCCCCCCGGGAACACACCCGGGCATTTGATTTGATTGGTTATGATAGTGTAAATGCCCGGGTGCCGGGACACAACTTGAAGACTAATGCACGGCCCCTGGGCAAGCTGAGAGTGGAAAATGCCCCGCCCCGGGGACGATTTTACAGTCGATTTCACGAAACTTTGACACAAATGTTTCAAACTTCGTTGCGAAGTTCGGAAGCTCATATTGGAATTCACAAGACAATTTGTAAACAAAGTGCCTGATTGGTCCGTGAAGTAAAAGAAGCCAATCAAATGCGTAGTTTACGAACTGGTTTGTGAATCTCATTATGAACTTTTGAACTTCGCAACAATCTTGTGAACTTCGCAACGAAGTTCAGAAAATTTGTGGTCAAAGTTTCGTGAAATCGACTGTAAACGTTACGGTAATTAAACTTTTAATGGCATATAACCATAGTCATTTAATAATTATAATATTAAACTGCTATGGAATATTATAAAACATAAACCTTTAATAGTTGTATTTAAATTTGCATGGCACAGGGTATAATTTTCGCTTATTCTTACAATAAATTTCACGCTACCTTGACCACGAGGGCGCAAAATACGATCAGCGCGCCCACATGCTTGCCTGAAATGTTTTGCTGCCTTAAAATTTGTGGGTGGGATTCTGGGCAACCATTTGTCAAATCCCCGGGGTCCTCCAATACCCGGCCCCCGTGCACATATATGAAAGGCAAATTCCCGACCCCCGTGAATTGTCTATCGGGAAAATTCCCGGGGGTGTCCCGGGGGGGTGGTGGTTACTCCAGGAATTGACTTATGCAAATTACAATCAGCTTGTAATAAATAAAAACTAGTTTCCGTATTGTTTAGCAGTTGTAAGCAACATAAAATTTAAATAAATACCCGATTTGTTGTTCACAAATGCAATATTTATATCCCCGGTTGAACGAAAGAAAGGTTGTGTGGAACACTCGAACTGCGAACTTAGTCAGAAAAGTCAACACAAAATATTCGTTCCTTTGCCTCCCTAATTTTCGCTGCCTGTAGAAATACCGCCTGCCACGCAGGCTAGGCCGCGATCAGTTATTCCAGCGGCAACACAAATCAAATCGGAATTAACCGTAATGGGTTTGGGCATAGGTTATGTACTTCGAAATGTAAATATCAAACGAAGTATTGTTGTTGAGCTGTGTCCGCTTTTTGCCTCAGAACTTTTTGTGAGTATATTATTTAAAATGTACTACATTTTCTTCTGATCTTCGTATTATATTTCTAAAGTCAGTTTTCGTCCCAAATATTTTATAATCGCGGATTCTAATCTACCCCCCTCCCCCCATCGCGGCCCAAGTCCGCGATGCGGGACGAAATCTATTTGTCGACGGTCCCTTATAGCCTCGGTCAAATGAGGATGAAAGTCATGCATGAATTGCTTATAAATACACAAAGGACATTTCAAGTTCCAGATGAACAAAATATTATTAAAGCTTTGATGAGTGTTCCAACTATGTTTCAACTTAATTAAAATACTCTCATCCTCGTTTGATCCATAATTATTTGTTGATTTTACTCGATACTAAATAGTGAAACATCGAATCCAGATAAAATCTTATGCAGAACCCACTGTAATTCCGAGCTGTAATCACATAATTATATAAAAGTCGTTTCAGTAGCAGCAAAAGCCAAACTAAACACCAACTAGGATTAATAGGTTTAGCTTTTAGGCCGAGAATAATACACGATTGACAATTTTGTGGCTGATTGATTAATTAATTAATAGTATACTGTATATTGATGTTGTTGTTGTATACAGGACATCTGACTTACATGTCAAATTAATAGTTGAATCTATGATTATATTGAGCATGGCAGATTTGACATTTGAAACATTTTTGATGTTAATAACCCATTGAGTCGCATTGCGCCCTGATGCGCACTAAGGCCCCGTTTACATGAGACCGGGACGAAGTCAAACCGGAATGAAAATTGAAATTGTCAACATGTTTACATGAGACCGGTACGAGGATCACAAAATCTTCAATTTATTCCCCTTGCCAGGCAATTTTCTTTTTCAGGTGGCTTTTGCTAGCATGTGTTGTTCCAATGTCAAGATTACAGCCGAGACCGGTCTGAAATGTATTTGTGTTTACATTCATCCCGGTCTGAATTCATGCCGGTCTGAAGTCAGTCGGTTCGGTCCAGAAGGCGGAATGACTTGAGACCGGTCTGAGTTATTTTCGTCCCGGTCTCATGTAAACATCTATTATAGATAATACTATGACCGAAACGAGATGGTCCCGGTTTGACTTCGTTCCGGTCTCATGTAAACGGGGCCTAAGTATTTATTATTTTACTCTGGCTATCTAACGCTAGGCAACTTTACTTATCAAGGGGAGAGCACTGGCGGTTAATGTGTTAACTAGCCTATCTGCCCATGTTTATAGTTAACCCATTGAGTTGCATTGTGCCCTAATGCGGCCTAATTTATTATTTTACTCTGCCTATCGCAGGACAATTTTACTCATTAAGGGCAGAGCGCTGGCGCTTAATGTGTTAACTAGCCTATCTGCCAATGTGTCTAGTTAACCCATTGAGTCGCATTGCACCCTAATTTATTATTTTACTCTTTCTAACGCCAGACAATTTCACTCATTAAGGGGAGAGCACCGGTGCTTAATGGATTAACTGGCCTATCTGCCCATGTGTGTTGTTAACACATTGAGTCGCATTGTGCCCTAATTTATTATTTTACTCTGTCTAACGCCAGATGATTTCACTCATTAAGGGGAGAGCACTGGTGCTTAATGGGTTAATATTGAAAATATAGATCAACATTTGTCAAAACTCATGACTTGTGCAATCATTTCTGTAATAATTAAGATATTAAAATACCAAATATAATGCCTTATGGCTTATTTCAAATAGGGAGATGCTATGTGACTATGTCCATTGAAACTTAGTGGATTTGTTGTACATGAAATAAATGCTAGCCATAAACATATTCAAGTCAATCGAAGAGAATGTAGAATTGCACTTTACATAAAATTCCCTAGTTATTGTACATTAATGCAAAAAAAAAATGCATTTGAAATGGAATATATTGTTTTAATTTTATTTCTATGGTTTGTACTATGATATACATATACATGGGCTATACACTCTTTGGGAACCCGCAGGGCTGTTGGCAGAGCATTTCCATGATCTGGAACTTCAGTCCTAAACACGATGTGTGGGTGCGAAGATGTTGTGTAGGAACAGAACTGTACAGATTAGAAATATGATTACTGATATTTTCCAAAGAAAAACTATTAATATATAGAAGAGGAAAGAAAGAGGCAATAAATAGCCCAAAGTATCTGTTGTACATTTGACATTTAAAAATGGTAGGCTTATTAAGGATGAGATACAGAGAAAAACAGTAATGCAGAACTACATTCTCTTAAATTGTCAAAATTAAATGCTACCAATCTTGGTCTTGTTTCAAACTTGAATAAAGAAAAGTCTAAAAATATAAAAACTATAAGAACAGATCAGCTAAGTCCAGTTATAAAATTAAATGACGAAGGAAAGCTGTCATTTTAGGAAAGTGTTGTTTTGGGGTGTGTAAACTCATGAGGTTACATGTTTCTGGTGAATCTGTGCTTGCTGCAGCAAAAATTTATTAATCGTTTGTGATATAATTCATAAGATGTCTATTTTAACCTGTCGGTTGCCAAACATCTTAAATATGGAATTTGTTTTGTCTGACCAAGATATAATGAATACCACTAGTGACATGAGTATATCCAATTAATATTTAACTAGAAATAAATGCATGCAGCAACCCCTAGCCTATATTTTCCAAACATTGATTTAACGTGAACTATTAGCAATTGGCCAGCACTGAACGCAGGCTCACGTTGTGTCAAGTGTTGTCAAGGCAACATAATGTCACATTATATTTTAAATTTTTTTGAATAATTTTGCAAGTGTTCATACCACAGAATCTACCATACATAATTTTAAACAAATAGATAGGTGAAGTAATTCAAACAAAATGATTTTGAACTTTATTACTCTACTCTGTCGAACGCCTATTGTATAGTTATATGTATATCATATATTATGTTTTTATGCAGTCTCCCTGAATCACTTGTACCAGGCTATGGAAATTCATGTTTCCAATTTTGTATTTATTTTTCTTATGATACAGTATACTGTAAATTTGAATAATATTTGTGTGCTTATAGTGAGTTTATTTTTAGGAGAGTTTGTTGCGAGGCAGCATATATTTTGATATTTCAAAATATTACTGTATATTGGTATGTTATACTTAGGGGTCGGGTGTAATATACTTTTTCAGGTATTTTGTGTCTGATGTATGTAAGAGCTTTATTATTGGGTTTCTTGGTGAGACCTTATATCTTATGTGTCCTATAACCCTCTGTAATTGCGGATTATTGCATACATTCTAATTGTATTTTTTTTGTAGGAGTCCGAAGATGCAAATGATACAATTTCAAACTTATCACAACCCATATTGTGGCCGCTGGCAGCGAACTAGAATACGACTAGAAACTGTCAATCATACGTTATCGAGGGAAAGGATGAAAGTTCCATAACAAGCAACAGTTGTTTTGATGCAATTATCGCCTTATTGGCAAGTTTTTACATCTTCAATATTGAGAGTACTGCCACACGATAGCATCTTGTCTGCCTTGCAGACTATAGTAGTGCATGGGCAACACAGAAAATGGCATCCAACTGCCAATGAGGGTCACAGCCCTCTTCAATGACTTGTCATGACTCATGAATATTTGTACTACAGTAATTTTACACTTTTTGAGAGTTTTGTTGACATATGCTAACCCAAGTTAATGTTATTGATGGAATGTGTGTATTGTCTCACATCTCACCGAACTGTGGTAATGTATTAGAAATTATTCGTATTGCGTTCACGTTAACAACCGCGCCTGCTATTGCTATCACAAGTTGATTGCTCTTTAAAATTAGAATTGTAAACTTTCGGAGCCATATGGCATATATGTACGAATCTTTTGATGGTTCCCACATTTCGGTGAGATCCATAATACTGACTACTGTGCATGTATATTGTAATTTTAGTTATAGTATTGTGTTTATAATACAGAAATTGGAACATTATTTATCTCAACTTATATTACAATAATTCATTCCAATCTTGGTCTGTTGGAAAAATTGTAATAATTTAATCAAGACCAAATAAACCCCAATATTTTTGCCTGATTCATTATATACATGTAGAATACGTCTACATGCAAGAGTGCAACCAAATCCACATGACTTTAAATGCTATATAAAACGGCACCACCAAAAAGCTATATCAGCTCAATCGGTTCTAAAGCACCTCTTCATTGGGGCTGAGACTGCTCTCCTCTGAAAGGGCCAGAACAGCTCCGGTTAACAAAGTAGGGGTTAAATTGGCTTTTCTTTTGGATCTATAATGGCTCTGAAATTGGACCAAATTGACCCTTTGGGTGCTACAAACTACACCATGAAAAAAGCTATATTAGCTCCTTTGGCTCTAAAGCAGCTCTTCTTTGAGGCTGAAACTGTGCTCTTCTGGGAGGGCCAAAATAGCTCTGGTTAAAAAAGTAGGGGTTAAATTGGCTTTTCTTGTGGTCTATAATGGCTCAGAAATAGAACCATATTGGCCCTTTGGGTGCTAAAAAACTACACCATTAGAAAAGCTATATCGGCTCCTTCGGTTCTAAAGCAGCTCTTCATTGGGGCTGAAACTACTCTGTAACTCAGTAGCCAAAACAGCTCCGGTTAGCGAGCCAAATCGACGCTTTTTGGGGTTCATTATGACCACAAATGGGAGCCAAATTAACTCCTCGAAATGCCAAAATAGCCCCCTAATTTTCTGAATTGGCCCCTATTGAAAGTTGAAATAGCCCCTGCTTTTGCCAAAACAGCTCCTACTAAAAGCTGAAACAGCCCTTACACTGGAAGGGCCAAATCACCCCTAGGGGCCGCAATGTTATAGGTGCCATTTTGACCCCCAAAAAAGATCTATTTTGCGGTCACCGTTTTGGCCCCATTTTTGGGGTCGTTTCAGCCCTTTTTAATTTACAGTG